AGAGGCTTTGCTCAGCAGTGGGCACTTATAGGCTGTTGATGATAAAGATGATAAACGATAGTTATTCTAAATTACTGTTAAAAATACAGTTATCTGTTCCTACAACTACATTAACAAATGATTATAATCTATACATATAATAAAATCGTAGAAAAGTCAAAATATTCAATGTACAGTACATTGAATATTTTAAAATAATACTTGAAGCGTGATCTACAGTCGATACTGAAGCCAAAAATATGGTTTTTAGATTTATGTTGTGTTTGTCTGTGTGTATATTCGGGATGATCTGCAAAAGTACTGCGTGGATTTACTTCTAATTTTGCATGAATATTACTAACAGGTCGGGTCAACATATAGGCTACATATTATCACGGTATCATCTACGGGAGAGGAGCTGTGAATCACAATTCCACGCGAACGAAGTCGCGGGCAACAGCTAGTGAAAAATACATATTTTTCGTAGGTATTTCAAATTAGGTACATCAAATTGTCTCCGCTCATAGATATAAAACTAAAATGATTAAATCCAAGTTAAAATGATGGCTACGACACACGTATTGGTATTCAGTAAATATCGTGTGTTGGATATCGAAGTATTTTATGTTATAACTTTACTCATTTCAAGTTTCACTGTCTTCCGCCTGATTGGTTGTGATCGAGGCTCATAATGGCAGACATTTCCATTATCAGTGTGTTATCTGTTGTGTTTAGTGGTTTTAGGATTTATACTAAAGTTCCTATGTGAATGGATGTGTTTGGAACACATTTCTCACCCCCTAATCACATGCGATGATGGGACTCATAACATTAATAGTGAAAACTGGGTGTTACATTGTACAGTGGCATTGAGAGCCGTAATGTGTACGCTACCTACCCCTTTGGGGATAAAAGGCGTGATGATGTTATGTTATATTACATTGCTCAAATATCAGTAATTTCTAAGAAGTAGAAATGAAAAAATCTAAAAATATCGTGAGGAAACCTAATCTTATAATTTCTAATTATAAGTTTGATTTTAAAATTGCTTACCCGCATTGAGCAAGCGTGGTGATGGTCAAACCTCATCAATTTCAAAATTAACAAACAACAATGAAGCCTGGACTCATGATAAAACGAAGTTCATATCATTTGAAGATTACGTGGCATATTTTGTTACACCTTAGCCAGGCCATAAAAATAACATGTTTTATTTATTCACAATTTTATCGGAATTGGTCATGTATTTATTATATTTGACACACATCACAAAATGTTGTAGGAAATGTTTGCGGTGTGTCATGGCATGTAAGTTCTTACTAAGCCTATGAGTGTATTTCAGGAGGTATGTACGTATTTACTATTAACGTATTTAATAGACTGCCTCGTTGGCCGAGTGGTCGTAAGTGCGACTGCAAGGGATCTCAGGTTTGATTCCCGGGTCGGGCAAAGTATTACTGGGTTTTTAAATATTCTCAGTAGTAGCACGGAGTCTGGAATTGTGCCCAGTATATGGCAATAGGCTTACCCCCTATTACATGGGACTCATAACATAAATAGTGAAAAGTGGGTGTTACATTGTACAGTGGTATAATATGCACCTCTGCCTAGCCCTTCGGGGATAAAAAGGCGTGATGTTATGTTATGTTATGTACGTATTTAGTATAAGTTGATGTTTTTCTGTCTGTCCTTTTTAGGAATTAATTTAAAGGCATTAATGTATGTATGATGCGATCCTATTGTATTTTTTATAAGATAGGCCGGTAAACGAGCAGGCGGATCACCTGATGGTAAACAATTGGTGCCGTCCATGGACACCCGAAATACCAGAGGCGTAACCAGTGCGTTAGTGACCTTTTGGAATTTAGGAATTTGAGGATTGTTAGGGATTCAGGAATTGGGGAGATTGGGAATAGGATTAATTGGGTACCGGAGGTCTAATTAAACCTTACTCACACGACGAAACACAACGTAAGCGTTGCTTCACGTCGGTTTTCTGTGAGGCGTGGTATCACTCCGGTCGAGCTGGGCCATTCGTGCCGAAGCATGGCTCTCGCACACTTAAACATTGTGTCTAGTTACACATAGTAAGAGCCTATAAGATTTTGTGTAACTGAAATTTAAAAATAAATTAATGCTTTTCGCGTATTAACCAGGCTTTGGAACTGATATTTTATTTAAAACTTGAGTTCAATTGTAGTTGACCTCAGAAATAAGACTAGTATAAATCTTCAATCATAAATCTATTTAACCGACGAGCATGCATGAAAAGAATAAAAAGAGTGATGACTGTTGTGAAGCGAAAGAGGTATGTAAGAATCGTAGTAATTGGCGTTCCATAGCCTCTACCCAACCCTATTGGAGACAAGCGTGAAGTTATTATTTTTTTTAAACGTTGCCCCACACTAGGATTTTCTCCTGTGTCGTGGGTGCGTTTACGAATATACAGGTTCACATACATACGACACCCAGACCCGGAACAACAATCTGTGGATCACACAAAGAGTTGTTCCGTGCGGAAATCGAACCCGCGACGCGTTGCGCGGCAGTCAGTTATGTATGTACATATGTATAAATCTATTTCCACTCAATTTTTCGAGCAAAGTCATAGAATAACAGTAGATTACATTCGATGCAACAAAATGACCCGATTCTAAGAGTTCTCACAGAATTCGCTATCAGATAGATATGCACTTTCGTAACACGCTATCATTTTACAAAATATTGTTATCATACGTTATCAGAGCGGTTTGTATCATGTGCGAATTTTTGGCCACAGCTTGCGAAATGCTTATCAATTGAATACGAGTGATAGTAGAGTTTTAGGGATATGTATTGCTTTTTTAACGGGGAAAGAGGACCGTGGTAATTATTTTGTAGCCTTCCTAAGCAAATTGTCAATTACAAAGTTTAGATATTATAGGTATATGGACATTGTTTTTATAATAACTATCGTGAGACATACTGAATTAACTAAAAATCGCGTGTTACTCACGTGAGTATACTGAAAAAAGCTCTATTAGTTTCGAACCACAGAGGGGTCTTCCTCATGAGCAGTGTGCGCGGACGCGGTGATGTCGCACAGACTAGCTAGCCTACTAGTAGAGCTTTTCTCAGTACATATATATATTCACGTGAGTAACCCGCGATTTTTAGTTAATTTATAATAGAGGTATATGGACATTATTTGATACTCAAAAGTCAGTTATCGGGTGGGGTTAGGGTTATGTAGGCGTTACAAGTGCGTTATCGGGCTTTTGGGGATTAGAAATTTGAGGATTGGGAATGGGGGAAGGGGCACTTGGGCCTCCGGTAACCTCTCTCACACGACAAAACACTACGCAAGCGTTGTTTCACGTCGGTTTTCTGTGGCATTGTAGTACATAGTCATTAAGTGTCTATAGTCTTCAAAATCATATATACGTTTGTATATGGTATATCAGGTTTTGTGCGGCTGAATCAGTTGATAAAAGTAAGTATATAGTTACATTTGTTTTTATTTGAAGAACAAGGAAGTGGCGTGGTGGCCCGGAGGTTTAAGACGCCCCGCTTCTCATGCATGAGGGGCGGGTTCGCAATCAATACCAAATATCAATGTGACTTTTTCCGAGTTATATGTACTTTCTAAGATTATTTAGACATCACTGATAAACGGCAAAGGAAAATATCGTGAGGAAACCTGGACTTATAATTTCTAATTTCTAATTATAAGTGTGAAATCGCCAACCCGCATTGAGGGAGCCTGGCGATTAATGGTCAAACCTTATCTGTGTGAGAAGAGGCCTTTAGTCAGCAGTAGCCACTTATAGGCTGTTGATGTTGATGATGATGAGGTTGATTAACTGTTTAGTCTTTGAAATTTGAAAATTTGACCTTTTTTTGCTACCTAAATGGCTTATTGAGTTTGGGGACACACTAGTTTTTTGATCAGCAGTGGCCACTTTTTCGCTGTCGATGATATTGATGAAGGAAGAGTAATGTTTCAGGCGTATAGTCATGGTAACTAGAAACTAACTTATAAGTAACTAATTCAGTTCGGCGTGACATGTAAATTCTTTAATTATTGCTTATTGTTTACTCATAAATGTTTTCATTGAAGACTTTGAGTACTGCGAATTCATTACTAGGTACAGGTTATGGGGACGTCTAGGTGTAGGCACCAAGGAATACCCAATTCGAAATTCTTACGAACTGACTTTGGATACGTGACACAAATGTGGATAATTACAATTGTTGACTGCCTCGTTACCCGAGTGGTCGCAAGTGCGACTGCCGGGCAAGGGGTCTCGGGTTCGATTCCCGGGTCGGGCAAAGTATTACTGGGTTTTAAAAAAATCTCAGTAGTAGCACGGAGTCCGGAATTGTGCCCAGTATACGGCAATAGGCTCACCCCCTATTACATGGGACTCATAACATCAATAGTAAAAAGTGGGTGTTACATTGTACAGTGGTATAATGTTCACCTCTGCCTACCCGCTTGGGGATAAAAGGCGTGATGTTATGTATGTGTTCTAAATTATACAGTGCAACAAACTATACAAGGTTTATTTTTGGAAAATAATATTTTAAGTAGAAATAAAGGTACTTAAGTAAAGGTATGTTAGACATACATTGTAACGATACGTGTACGTAAAATTTTTATACAAATCTTGTAGAGAACTTAATTTTAGACATTAGACCGAGTAATAACTTAGGTTCACAAAGTATCTATACAACTATTCGTTTATTGACTGGTCATCTCGTTTATGGAATAATCAAGGTTTAATTAAATAATTTTAAATAACATATCTGCATAAATCCTTTGACTTCACTCATGACTTAAAAATACACGCACCGTCCTTTTTCCCGCCTACAACGATATTTTTAGTTACCATCCATAATTATAAAGACTTATACTACATTTATTAAGGAAAATTCCTACAGAACCACACAAGCGTATGACTGATACACTTGACACACCCATGACATGATGACGCGGCCCACGTTTCTATCTTGACACAGTCATCAATCGCGTGTGATTTATATACTGGGTCCCCCGCCAGCCGACGTCAGTAGTACAACAAAGCTTCACCTACATACTCCATTGCAGTATCAAACATGTAAGTAACCATAGACAACATAGCTTGTAACAAACCTTCATCAAAATAAAACAATAACAGCGTCATAGACAAACCGTTCCATATTCAAAACGTTTATTTTTTTGCGCGGTAAATTGTGTCTGATTGTAATTTTTTTTTATTAGCGTGTAATAAATGATTTTTTCGCTTCCTTCATTTTTTAAATTAATTTATTGTACAGCTTAGTTTTTTGTTTATAACTGATACGCGTTTGTATGATAATGTTATCCTTATTAAGCCCGCCATATTTATTCGTATTAAATTGATTAAGATACGGGTTATTAGAAAAATTTCGATTTTGCGATAGTTATTAAAATGACTTTGTTTTGTTTTTCTTTATTTTAGAATAAAACTACAAGTATTAAAAATGATTAAAAAGTGTCAAAAATATTATTTGAGCTGTAGATGATCTCCTCATCCGGTATTTAGTACAACAGTACTTTTTTAAAATTGTGAATAATCGTTTAAACTAAAACTGTTGTTTACAATTTGCTAGTGTTGAGAAATTTCAATTGTACATATTGTAAAATACATAACCTAGTTAATCCTAGTCGCAAATTCATGCTAAAACAGACTTATTTATAAGATGAAGAACGATTAAAATCGTATGAAATCAAACGAGTTGTTGTCTATTTTATGTGTATCATAATTTTCATGTTCAAATCCCAAAAAATGTTATGTAGACACGATGCTGGCGATATCTAAAGTAAATAAACACGTTTCACTGATAAACGTCCTGGTTTGATAACGAAATATTGAGGAAAGAATCATTAATGCCTGGCTGTACAATAAATTAAAATTTCGTGTTGCGATTTATCCATGTTATTTGATTAATGTAACTTAGACCAAAATTACAAAAACAGTTTTCAATAACTGACTGCCTCATTGGTCGAAAAGTCGCCTGCCGAGCAAGGGTACTCGGGTTGAATTCCTGGGTCGGGCAAAGTATTATTGGGTTTTTTAAAAATCTCAATAGTAGCACGGAGTCTGGATATGTACCCGGTATATGGCAATAGGCTCACCCCCTACTACGTTGGACTCATAACATAAATAGTGAAAAGTGGGTGTTAGATTGCACAGTGGCATTAAGTGCCATAATGTGCACCTCTGCTTACCCCTTCGGGGATAAAACGCGTGATATTATGTTATGTTAGGTTTCAATAAATTTTACTTGTACATAATATTAAGTTCACTCGATATGAAGTACCTATTCAAAAGATATGTACCTCTATTAATTAATCGGGACTCACAATAAAAAGCTAAACAAAAATTTTAGATTTAAAATCATAGCCTTATTGACAACTCAACGAGAGAAAGAACCGTAATATAGTACCTAAATAATAATACATACATACCAGTATATGATATAAAATATAGTGCTGATTTCACTTCAAAAATCTAAATATTGGCTGTTTGTCAAGATTTACTTGAAACATTCCGGTTTATTTCTTTGTGACTTTTACATTTGTTAAAACAGACACAATGTCAGACTCGGTAGCTATCATCTGCCGATAAATACGAAATAGAAAGCTCCAAATCCTTTCTATCTACAGGCCAAATCCCTTGTAAAACATAAAATATATAAGCAATCACTTAAATAAGATAGAAAGTTCTTTATCTATTTATTTACGGTTTAATTATAATCATATTGATAAATAATGTTCTTTAACAGACTCAAAACAAAATGTCCCTCCCTACGGTCACCATTCGTGAGCTCTCCGACGCGGTCCAAGACAACACACTTGGACCCAGCACCAAGAAAGTAGTCGAAGGTCTGCTGAACGACTACATGGACTTACAATACGGCAAGGAGACCCCATACACGACAGGAAAGCAAGTCATTCCCTCAGGAGCGACCCTTGAAGACGTAGAAAAGTCTGTAGGAGACGAGAGTGTCGCCAAGAAGTTCCACGACGTCTTCTCCACCATCGAAAAGACTGCCAAGAGTGGGGATCTGACACCCGTGTCCTCCAATGATGGGACCTGGGACCCCAAACTGAAGCCTGTCTTAGTCCTCATCACCCCCAACCCCTAGATTAAGCTGAGAATCTGTTTTATTTATTTATTTTTATTTTATGGCCATTTTCTCGAGTTTCATAATTATTTAATAAAGTAATTTATTTGTATGTTTCTGATATTTTTTTTTATGGCATAAGCCGGTAAATGAGCAGACGGATCACCTGATGGTAAGCAAACGGCGTCACCCATGGACACCTGGAACATTAGAGGCGTTACAAGTGCGTTACCGGCCTTTTAGGGATTAGGAGTTTGAGGATCGTTGGGGATTCAGGAATTGGGGAGATTGGGGAAGGGGAGGGTAATTGGGCCTCCGGTAACCTCACTCATACGACGAAACACAACGCAAGCGTTACTTCACGTCGGTTTTCTGTGAGGCCGTGGTATCACTCCGGTCGATCCAGCTCATTCGTGCCGATGCATGGCTCTCTCACACTTCAAACATTTAGTACTATTACTGCTACTGTTTCAGTATACTTTTAGTAATGAATCCCCGAAGTTATACTGATACGAAATGAAATCACTAGTCATTTAGGAGATATTGAACCAAGAAGTAAACATAAGAATCATCGAATTAGCAAAACTCTAATAATTAATTATAAACTAAGAATATGTTTAGAAGCACTTGAATGTTCGCCATTCGAACATTTTATCAAGACAACGGCAATTTATAGAATTCAGTGACATCTAAGCTGCAGTTTAGTTAAGATTCACAGCACGACATATTGTATTGACGGAGCAAAAACAAATGGATGCACGCACGGAACAGATTTATCTAAAACAACGTCTGCACGGAACCGTTTTGTTCAATTGCAAATAAAACTCAACAAGTTGGTTTACTTGGAATGCTATTTACTGGTAAAGGCTTCTCGAAGACGGCTTCAACAAGGACGCATTTAAAATAGGCATCACGTTAACTATGTTGTTGAAGGCTTTTCACAAGAGTGTTCATATTTACTTCGCCATTAGAAACAGTATTATTTAGTTTGTTTTTTTAAATCAACAGTATTGTTCATACTGTCTCGTTCGCCGAGTGGCCGCCAGTTCGACTGTCGGACAAGGGGTCTCGGGTTCGATTCCCAGGTCGGGCAAAGTATTACTGGGTTTTTAAATAATTCTCAGTAGTAGCACGGAGTCTGGAAATGTGCCTGGTATTATGGCAATAGGTTCACCTCCTATTACATGGGACTCATAACATAAATAGTGAAAAGTAGGTGTTACATTGTACGGTGGCATAAAGTGCCGTAATTTGCACCTCTGCCTACACCTTCGGGGATAAAAGGCGTGATTTTACATTATGTCATTGGCCATAATGACCATAATTGGCTTGGCAGACGTGTTGCAGAAAGTTCAGGCTCATTAAACAGTGTTATTATGAATGTGTAGTCCCGTAGTCGGCTGTTGCGGCCACGCAGGGAGAGTATGGGCGGTAACTGTAGTCTACACTATCGTCACTGTACCTCTTGATGTATTTGTTCATCTATGTCAAACACACTTGACTATATTGCGTAGTATCAGTGCTATCTGATACTTTACTATGTGAAAGGCTAGGTGATATCTATCCATATATTTTGACAGTACACAGAAATCAATACAATATTCGTAAATATACATGTAAATTATATTTTATGAGAGGTGCACATTACGGCACTTAATGCCACTGTACAATGTAACACCTAATTTTCACTATTTATGTTATGAGTCCCGTTGCCATATACCGGGCACAGTTCCAGACTCTGCACTACCTCTGAGAAAAACCCAGTAATACTTTGCCCGACTCGGGAATCGAACCGGAGACCCCTTGCCCAGCAGCCGCACATGCGACCACTCTGCCAACGAGGCAGTCAGATCCACAATATTGCACGTATAAACTTTTTAAGCCCCAAGAAAGTTGTCTTTCAGGAATTAAAAAAAGCATGAAGTTACCTAAGTTATTCTTACCCATTTCACGATATTATTGGACATACTACATTTTTATGTATGTCGGTCCACTACCTACATCCGTAGACCGGCACTCAATGTCAGATAAAGTGACAGAGGTATCATAAGAGTCTCGGAGATTCAATAAGTGATCTGATTTACTCATTTTGGAGGCAACAGATAGAATGGTGACTTGGTATTTTGAGGGGATTCGTTATTGGAATTTCAGTTCTAGGTGGATAGTTTTAGAAGTGGTTTTTGAAGATTACGTGCTGTTTAATGTAAGTGGGTACCTGGGTATGTTACTGATTTCGGTTTAGTGGTTTTAAACAGGTTAACGATTGTTTCCACCACCACAAAATAAAAATAGAAGTCAATTTGCTAGATTTCCTTAGAAAATATAGTTTCAAAAGTCTACCAGAGGATGGCGCTAGCAGTATCATAATTGAAATAATTAAGACATGAACATTTTTGTATTTTGAATGGAGATTTCTCTGAAAAAAATATTTTGTTATTTTTTTCTATCTGTCGGAATAGGTAATTATGTTTCATCTTCATATCAGCCGTAACACATTACCTCCACTGCTCATAGGCTGTAATTAAAAAAACTGAATGCCGCGCTGAAAATGTTAGTACATTGATTAAGACACAGATGGCGTGAGCAGTCAGTTTTCGTGGTGATATTTGCGCATAAAATATGACAATCCACGTGGTAAACAATTTGATTTCGTATACGTATATGGCAGAATCTTATGGATACAGTTGCTTACTAGTTTTTCTAACATCTAATAGTAAAATAATAGTGTAGAGTGATTAAAACCCTAAACTTACCTATGTTTACAATTAATAAATGAATTGGAATTTTCTGACTAAATACATCACTATCATCATCATCATCAACAACAGTCTAACAATGTACTCTTGGACTATTGACTTCCTCTTTATAAAAGGGTTTAATCGTTAAAGTCCCTCTTGGCAAGCAGGTTGCAGTTTCAATAGTTCAGGTTTATCGCCCAAAAGAGATAAATACACCCATATACTTAATTAAAAAGAATATGTCAAATGTAAAGCGTGGGAGAGCCATGCTTCGGCACGAAAGAGCTGACTGGATAGAAGTGATACCATGGCCTCACAGAAGACTGACGTAAAACCACTTTTGCGTTGCGTTTCGTCGTGTGACTGAAGTTATCGGAGGCCCAATTACACCTCCCCGCCTTCCCCAAACCCGGTATCCCCAACATTCCTTTAATTCCAAAGAGGCCGGTAACGCACTTGTAACACCTCTGGTGTTTCAGGTGTCAATGGGCGACGCAGATTGCTTATCATCAGGTGATCCGCTTGCTCGTTTACCGGTTTATCCCATAAAGAATGCGGAATATCACAACTGTGGAAAGTACCTAGGAAGTAAATTGTTTACATTTTTTTAATCGTATACACATGTTTTACAACATAGGTATTACTCACGTTGATTATAATCGTAAAAGAGATTACAACAATTACTTGGAAGATACTTTATCAGCTATAGGTATAGTTCAATAAACTAACACTAGTACACAGAAGTAGCAGAATCATTTACAACTAGCAGATTGTAACAATATTATTTATGGCAGATTAATCTAACCTTTCGCGCGATTACCTTGTAACAATAGCTCTGTATTTTAACTTTTGGCAGAGAAATAGTTTTGGCATACGGTGTGAGACCTCCGTGCTGGACACAAGTAAGTCTCCAAACTTTTATATTACCTATTTGCTTTGACATACCTATTTGAAAGATGACAAAACATTTGGCACGGCTCTCTGAATTACAGTGCAGTATTTTCGTAAACAAATCTTTAATAAAGGCTATGTTTGTTTTAGGTTGATAAAAATGAAAGTGTTGTATTTCGTTTTGTTCGTCGCGGCGGTGACTGCCTCCCCACTGCCCGAAGATGATGGGAGCGACGCTGTTGAAATGATTGTAAACGGTGTGCCTGATGGTGCGCCCTTGGAGATCAGTGATATTGTGGACATCAAGCTGAAGGAGCACGTTGATGGTGAAGTGGTTGCTGCCTCCAACCTTCTGCACCCTTACTCTGCTGTTGGTATCGCTGAAGCTCAAGCTGCTGCTGCCGAAGCTGCTGTAGCTGAAGCCAACAAGGAAGTAGAGTTCGTTGACAATGCTGATGTACTTGATGTCCAGCATGTGCCGATTGGTGGTCTTCCTGTGCCAGAGTCGGTCGCCCTACCCGCCCCTGTTGCTCCTGAAGTTGTAGCTGAACCTGCGGTCCCTGCTACTCCTGAGATTATTTTGCCTGAGCCTGTAGTTATGCCCTCTCCTGTAGCTCCTGAAGTAGTTGTGCCCGAACCAGTAGTTATGCCATCCCCTGTCGCTCCCGAAGTTGTTGTTCCTGAACCAGTAGTTATGCCCAGTCCAGTAGCTCCCGAAGTTGTTATTCCTGAACCAGTTGTCATGCCTAGTCCAGTAGCTCCCGAAGTAGTTGTTCCTGAACCAGTTGTGATGCCCAGTCCAGTAGCTCCTGCATTTGAAGAGGCTCCAGTAGCCGCCGCGTACAACGGTGAGGTGTACAATGATGGACTCGTCCAAGTGCAGTACAATGGACCTGCAGAACCTGGTATGTTCTCTACTATCCAATCCTGGTTCAACGTTGTCCTTAACTACTTCAGTTCCGAGGCCCCCGCTACCTCTCACTAATTTTTAAATGGAATTTCGCTCTCGCTATAAGTTACAAGCCACTACAAGGAATCACCATTTTGTACAGTACACAGTATATTCGTAAAGTGTTTTAAAAGACTGTTAAGATAAGATGGTCTAATATAATGTATTTGTAATGTACAAATAGGAAGAAATGTTAAAATAAACTTTTTTTATACATGCTTTGTTTTAATCTTCCAAAATAATTATAACAAATATAATAAATAAATAATCAAGTTTGTGAGTTTATGAGCTATGTGTGTGTGTTTGTATGTGTGAATGTTTGTATGTTTGTATGTTTGTTACTCAATCACGTCAAAACGGCTGAAAGGATCGGGTTGAAATTTGGAACAAGGATAGATCATGCTCTGGAATAATAAATGCTTTGACTTTGACTTTGACTTTGCTACCTTTTAACCCACGAGAAAGCTACTATATAAATAAAATGTTGTGACTATAGAGGTATAAAGCAAGACTAAAAATGTGTCGGTCTATGTGCCACGTTCCCACAGTTGGGTAGAACTCTAACATAATTTCGCATAAGTCTGTAGTCTAAAGGCATGCGTTGTAATAAACTATTCAAGTATTTGGTGAACTGGCTTTAGGACTTGGCACGTTCTCGACCAAGTTGGCCAAACTTCACTTAGCTCGTTAAAATGAAGTTTCGCCAGTACCCCGCTATAAAATTATCGACACTATTATGTTTAACAGTTTAGCATGCAACACTCGAGAATTTTCGACTATGTTATAGTTAGATTTTGTTGCATTTACAGTACCTACGTTCTTAACTGGTATATTTTAGTGAGTTTGAGAGTGAATGGTTTTTATATTGCATTTTTATACGTTATTTATTTAATGTGATGTGAAAAGTCGCGGTTAAGAAGCTCGCTTCCCACGCATGAGAGTGCGGTTCGGAAACCTACCAACGGCAAGTACCTCTTGAGAGTTATATGTATTGTAATTTTTAAGATTATTTAGACACAACTGACAAACGGTGAAGCAAATCATCGTGAGAAAACCTGGGCGTATAATTTCTAATTATAAGTTTGAAACTGCCAATCCGCATTGAGCAAGCGTGGTGTAGTCAAAGTGGTGGTGTAGTCGAAGGCAAAGGCTCTCTCTCTTCTCACACGGAAAAGGTTTGAGCACATTGAGAAGAGGCCTTTGGTCAGTAGTGGCCACTTATAGGCTGTTGATGATAATGATGTTTTAATGTGATGTAAAATTCTCCAGTATTTGGACGTAATTTGAATCAATATTTATTGCTGTAACAGAGACTGGTTTATTAACAAAGTATTGCAACACATTACGCCACACATCTGTTTGGCATACACTATGAAATCTATGATTTTCCCACGGCCAAACAACTTGATATAAGGAGTACTTTCGATGCGTTAAGTAGAAACGAAAAAAATATAGATGGATAATTTTTATTTATTAACAAATTCATGGAAATGCTCACATGAAACACTAGACGTTAATTTGTCCGAGCGTACGGCGCGTCGCGTTCCGCGCGCGCCTCAAAGAGCCATCAGACCACCACAGATGGGGCCCAATAGGGCCGATGCCGATTCAGAGTCGTGGAGAACCTAACGGGTAACCGGGGCTCCGGCTCGACGTGCAGAAGAAGGAACGGGGTGGTTTTTAGTCAGCAGGAGTCTGACACTCCCTCCCGCCTCACCCAGGCGGGAGCAGTCATTCGATGATTTTCCCCCCTTAAAAAAAAGACGTTAATTTGTAGGCACTATTCGCCATGTGCCACCTGACGAGAAATACCTGTTCGAGAATTACCAACACGGCGTGATGTTTTGATAATGTACTATGAATTCGTATACGTTAAATTATTGTATTACCAAGACAGAACCATTTTACTTTGGGACGAAAACGAAATAACTATATTTCACGGTGTCTAAGAGAAGATTTTCAAGATTTAAAACTAAATATTTAGGGGTCTATTTACATATGTTGTTTGTTTTTCGAAACTTATTAACTTGTATAAAATCGAGAAAATATACAAAGAAGATTGAATTGCTTCTTTATTAATTGTCTATTGTAGTTAGTAAACAATTTATAATCAACTAGCGACCCGCCCCGGCTTCGCACGGGTGCAATATGCATGTATTATACATACAAACCTTCCTTAAGAATCACTCTATCTATTAAAAAAAACCGCATCAAAATCCGTTGCGTAGTTTTAAAGATCTAAGCATACATACGGACATACAGCGAAAGCGACTTTGTTTTATACTATGTATTGATTGAAGAAGTGATCATAAGTATTTGTTTATAAATTAACTAGCGACCTGCCCCGATTTCGTAGAAGCACAATATGCAAGTATTATACATATAAACCTCTCTTAAGAATCACTCTATCTATTAAATAAAGCCGCAATAAAATCCGTTGCGTAGTTTTAAAGATTTAAGCATACATAGGGACAGACAGACGGCGGATAGCGACGTTATTTTATACTTTGTAGTGATTTTTTAGTTGGATTTAAAGAATGAAGAATACTGGTCTGTACTGCATCTTTACTGTCTATTTTGTTTCTTTGGTTTTCTTTCTATGGGTAAATCTGGAGAGTGATACAGGCTATATTTTTTCCTTTAACAATGCGAGCGTAACAAGGTCTCGTATAATAAGCTAGTAATATAATTATTGCATGGTTATTACGATTTTTTTCTAGAAATCGATAAATGTTTACGGATTTTACTCTACTGATCTAATAGTTTTATGGTATTTGGTACGTTATCAGGGAACAATAAATAAGACTACCGTATCATAGATAAATAGTACTTACATTACAGTATAATAAAACGCTATTAACAAATAACTAGAAATTGTTTTATCATCATTATGATAAGTATGTAAAGGTACATTTTTCCTGCTTCTGAAATTGAATCCTGCTGAGACTTGATTAGATTTAGTAGTAGGTGTGTTGTCTATAATTATTTTTTGTCCTTTTTACATTAAATTATGAATCAATATGCACGTCTATTCGTTCATGCTGATTTAAATGATTATAAGTGACGTAAATCTGATGTAGAGTGCTTTGTGTCATTAATAAGGTGCTTTTTAAACAATTCGTTCATGTTGAGCGTTTCGTGCAATTCTTGTAAAAGTTGAACCTATTGGCATATAGGACAAGTTGAGACTATATGCGCCGGGCATGGAGTCTGAACTTGTCCGAACCTATTCAGAAATTTGAAAAATTACTATTCGGGGATTAAAAGTCACAATGAAGGTGTAAAAAGGTGTAAAAAGGCAAAGTAGCAGTTTTACAAGTCATCTTTACAACAAATTAAAAGTGACTAATCAGATAACTGATAAGACGTATTATATTGTACAATGAGTACCTCTATAGAGAGAGTGAAAAAGTGTAAAGTCCAAAGTTTTTACTAAAGTCAGCATAGAGAGTGTATCTCCGATGGTCGGCCAGTGGTGTGCGGGTTTTAATACGTTTTTTAAGAATCACAAATAAAGTAGAAAGTGGCACGCATCATGGTCACGCGAGCTGGTGGCACGCTAGCGACGTGCGAAGTGGTCGATTACACCGCAGTGCTCGCCCCGAACCTGCACCTGTGCTCCTATGGCTGCGTAGTTATGATGGCTGTATATGTATTTATGTATAATTGTATGTAGATAGATATTTGTGGTATTAGGTTGGTTGGATTTAGTTGGTATTGCATGTGTGCATTACTGTCTACATTTGCGTTCATCATAGTCAATATACCAGCAGCCTGTATCAGTTTATTGTTGGGCATAGCTTTTTTTGAGAGGAAAAATCATCAAATGACTTCTCCCGCCTTGGGTGGGGCGAGAGGGAGTGTTAGACACTTACTGACTAAAAAGCACTCCGTTCCTACTCCTGCACTTCGAGCCGGAGCACTGGCAACCAGTAAGGACTTCCGCGGCTACGGATTGATATCAGTCCTATTGGGCCCCATCTGTGGTGGTCCGATGGCTCATTGAGGTGCGCGTAGAACGCGACTCACCGTACCCTCGGGTTTGGTCGTGATCGTTGGACATAGCTAGGCCTTTCCAATGCGTATGCCAGTCGATCTTCAGTTGTTTTCACCTATCAACTGTCAACCTCTTTGTGGATGAAAAGTGTTATCAATTTTATTATTACCGAACAAATGATGGTGTTCGGCAGCCGTTGTTGCAACTGCCTACTGCTTTTCCTATTTTTTACCCTGAGACAGTACAAATTAAAGTATTAAGATTAAGAAACTAGCTGAATAAGAGATAATGCATGTTATTAGTCATGTATTTTATGGTGTTAACTGCTTATATATTGTACAAGTCTATAGAAAGGAAAATACCATACATCGTACACTAAATAATACTTCAGTTGGTTAAAAAAAACATCTTGGTATCCTTCGCTTCTAGAATTTTATGCTGTGTAATCACACCTCCTACTATTAAAAGAAAAAAAAAACTAATTTAAATCAAGCTTTTTAAACAAATATGGTTTTAGTTTAACACTAAAATGTAGGTTACACTTACTGCAACAGTCTATTTATGTCATCTCTTGTTTTATTCTTAGAGCGAATATATTCCGCAACGTTCCACAGCTCGGAGTCGCACGGATGCGAGACTACTTATTAAAACTACCTCTCACTATCTCGAGAGATCATGCCATCTCTCGTAGCGCGGCGTAGCACTGACTACGTGGCCGCGTAGCGCCTCGTAGCGCCTCGTAGCACTCACCTACGGAGGCTTACGTAGAGGGACGGCGTGTACATTCATTTCAGTGCTATACATAAAATATAAATACTCGCCTGTAGGTATTTATAGAACCAAATTGCCCCATAAAACTCGATTTACAGAACAAAATCGAGTTATAAATTATTTATTTTTTTACAGGAAAACGTGTTTTTATTAACCATAATAAATCTACATCTACACGTTTGTTTAAAATAATTTTCCTGTCTTTACAGACGTTCAGGGCCATGATAATTTGTTAGCTTATTTTTTATTAAAGGTATCGTTGAACTTAACCGTTCCGATACTGTCGTTAGTTTGGATATTGTCCGAGTTAATTCATATAATAATAGACGTACGAGTCAAAGGATCAATAGTAACTTTTAAATTGACTTTGTGACCTAGAAAACGACTGGATCGCGTTTTCAGAAAACCGTTGACCGCATCGTATTCGATCGAGTTAACTTTTTACTTTCACGAAACGTACGCGCCATGAATCGATAGGGTGTGCGGCCGTCGCGGCTGCAGGCAGCGGCACGACAATTATTGTGCCGGCGGTAGCGCGAATTTAGGGCATCGGCGCGGCGGCGCGGCCCGCCCCGACCGTGCGCCCGGCCCCGGCCCGGCCAGTCCGCGTCGCGCCCCGCGCCGG